ACAGGCAGTGTGGGACATGGCTGTGAGCCCTGGCACTGCCCGGAGGCACAGCCGGCGGGGCTGGGCTCCCGGCCCTGCCGCAGCCCCCTGGCAGAGGTGGTGCCAGGCGTGCCCCTTCCCACCCCCCAGCACAGCTCCAGCAAGGGCCAGGGGGCACCTGGAAGCCCTTCACGAGGGAGAAAGCACAGCCAAAGCCAGCGCTGGCACTGCCAGCAGAAAGGGCATCTACGGAATCCAAGTGCTGGGAAGCAAATGGAGCAACGAGGATCAGAGGAAGAGCTGCCATGAAGCCTCATGGATAAATTCAGTGGGAGAACTGAGATTGTACAGTTAAAACTGGGCTGCACAGGGATTCCTACTGTGATTTCTTGCTGTGAGGGAGGATTCCAAGGCTCTTCCTCACAAAGCAGCTTTGTGGGAAACCTCCCTGTTCCAGCTACAACACCCGGCCTTGGGCACCTCCAGCGAGGGGTCGATGCTTTCAGACCTCATCTCAGGGATGCTTTGGCACAATCCAATTCCATTTCCTTCAACACACTTCCATGGAGGGACAGCATTTTAATGAGACAGGGATGGAAGTGGCTCCTTTCCCAAACCCCAGGCAAGGGGGAAGGACCTAAGGGCCAAAGGGGCTCCAGGAGAGCTGGAGAAGGACTTGGGACAGGACCCAGGGAATGGTTTCCCACTGCCAGAGGAATGGGATATTAGGAAAATCATCCAGTTCCAACTTCCCAAAGACTCAGAGGCTTTGTAGCAGAAGGAGAAGATGTTCACAGCTACAAGGCACGTCATTCGCTGCCAAAATTAAGGTTGATCAGGGAATAAAAATATAACAACTGGAACAATACAGCTGTGTTTGAGAGGTCCAGGAAAGGTGGGAACTGAGAAATTCCCATTCATCCCTGAACACCAAGGGCCTACGAGATTCTCTCTCACTAACAAAGTGATTAATATTAAAATCCCTCCTCTGAAACACCTGTAGCTGAATCAGACTTTACTACACCCTGAGTGGCTTCACGTGAAATTCCAGCACTGGGCAAGGATTCCTTCAGGGAAAGGCTGCCAAACCCACAGGGATGTGAAGATTCAAGGATGTTTTATATGCAAATCAACCCCAGTTGAGCTAAACCCACCACTGAACAGAAACTACATCTACTTTATAAAATGTCTTTTCTTCATAAATGCAAAGTGTGCCCCATCCCTGGCAGTGCCCAAGGCCAGGCTGGACAGGGCTTGGAGCAGCCTGGGACATGGGAAGTGTCCTTGCCGTGGCAGGGATGGCACTGGATGATCCTTAAGGTCTCTTCCAACCCAAATCAACTCCAAATCTCCCAGCAATGTTCACTGGGAAGCTCCCTCCTCCCTGGGCTGTGGAGTGTCCCCAGCTTTTTTCCCTGTTAAACCTAGGAGGTTTACATTTTTCCCTTCCTGACATGGGCTGCAACATTTTTATCTCAAAATTAGCCTAGGGAGCTGGCAGAGGAACAAGGCCATCCCATCCCAGCTGCAAAACACCCGAGCTGAGAGTACCCAAGCACTGACCCCATCCTGAGTGGGATTAACCAAGGGGAAATCACTGCTGCCACCACAGCAGAACCAGAGCCCTGCTTCTACAGAGATGGTTTTCTTTTTTTTTTTTCCCAAGAGAAAGCGCTCCAAGACAGCGGCTCAAGCAGAAAATGTGGAAGTGTGACCTACATAGGGGGGAGAGCTTAGGAACAGCAGCTGCAGCAGGAGATCCAGCCCAGAGGTTGAACACAATGAGATTTAACTGACTGCAAACCCCTCACACGGAGGGGCTGGGCAGGTTCACCTTCCCCTGCTGCCAGTGCAGCTCCACATCCCAGGGAAACGGGGAGGAACTGCCTTCAGAGGCTCTCCAAGGTATTTATCTCCATTAAATGCCTCTCCCTCTATTAAATCAGCACTTGAGGAGCACTGGGCTGATAAGCAGCCAGAGGGGTTTTGTTTTGATGCATGAGGCTTGGAGCTGATCCAAATCCTGCCTGCCCAGGGCAAACCTGTGGGCACAGCCAGCGCTCCGTGCTGGAGTGGCCGTGGTGGGCAGGGAGCAGCTCTGGGGCTGAGCCCAGCTGCCAGCCTGCTCTGCTGCTGGAGGAGCTGTTTCCCAGCTCAGGGAATCCCTGCTGGCATCCCGAGGTGTGCTCCTTCCCACTGGCAACGGGCTTCACGGGCTCTGGGCATCCTGCAGTGGTTTGGGTTGGAAGGGACCCTAAAGCTCATCTCATCCCAGGGACGTTCCACCTTTCCTTCCTCCCTCCCCACAGCCAAGCAGGGTGAATAATTAACCACAACAACTCATTTAGCCTCGTGTCTCGTGTCTGGGGGAAGGAGAGGCAGAATTTCCACTTCACTGGCATCCAGCATTTCTGTTCTGCCCCTGCCTCGAGTGTGGGGCCGGGCACCAGAGGCAGAAGCTCCAGGTCACCATTCCCAGCCCCTGGGGCAGCATGTGGGATACCCTGGAGTGTCCTGGGAAGCTCTGCTCCCCTCCCAGAGCAAAGCATCCTCCAGCAAACGTGCAGGGAGAGCTCAGCCCTGGCAGGGGAGGGCAGGGCAGCACGGCCTGCGGTCGCTCTGATTGACTCCGAGTCCAGCAATTCTGAAATACAGCAGATATTTACTCCTGTCACTGCTCCAGCCCCAAACACCTCTTGCCTGGGGCAGGTTTCCAACAGCCAGAGTGCACCAGAGAGAGCCCAGTGTGGTGTCAGTGCTCCTGTGTCACCAGCCACCCTCACGGCTCCAATCCCAAATTCCACCCTGGTTACAAAGCCATGGGTCAGCTCCGACCCCTTCACCACCCCCTGGCTTGGGTTTCCTTCCATCCCACTGCTCCCTGCACCTCCCCAGCAAGCTCTGCACATCTGATGGAAAACAGGAAGCACTGACAGCTGTTAGGGAGTATTTACCTAAAGGAAGGGAGCTCAAAATCCTTTTCTGTACCCAAAAAGCCCCCTGGAATCATCACTCCAGTAAGGAAGCAAAAAGCATCCAGCAACTTAATTTAAACCCACAAATAATTAAATGCTCAGCAGCTGGAAAACCCCAAAGCCCAAAATTCCTGACAAAGTCTTTTTTTTGAGTATTTCGACCATTGACAGAAAATGAGGCAAAATCTATCAGGGATAAAGTTATTAAAGTAGCTCATCCAGCTGTGGTGGGAAGTGCATCCTGCCCTCCTCATTCCATTTTTGCCTTAGGTCAGAAGTTATTTACCAGGTGAAATGCCACCTGAAGGAAGAGTTAATAATGATAGCTACTAATTCCCAGATATCTCCCTTTCTCCAAGGATTTCCAGAAGTTTCTCCTATTCCACACCATGGGTATCACCAGAACCAGGAGTTCTGATCACCAGCCCAGAGCCTGAAGAGAAATCAGTGAAGTGCCAAAAGTGGTACCATGGGAAGAAACTGGGAATTTGATTTCCTATCACAATGACAAGGTGCAGCTTTTCACAATGAAATTGGAATCCATCTTTGTTTTCCTATTCTAAAAGTTTTTATTCCAGGGCAAAGAGGAGAACAAAATAAGCTCAGGGAAAATGGATTCTATGGTCCAGCAGAGCCAGACACGGCCATGCCAAGGAGAACTGGGTGACCCTTGGCTGGAGATGATCTCCTGATGGGTCCAGCACAACCCTGCACTGGAGATGTTCTCCACCATCGTGTCCAGACTGACAGCTGAGCTAAAAAGCACACTTCTGGGAAAAGCCTCACTTTTAACTTTTAGGTGAGAGCTTGACTTTACTGCTTCTGCCCCTGAGCAGGGATTTTCCCTCCTCTCTTCCCTCTCCAATGCCATCTAAATCCTCTCCTCCCTTTGCTTCTCACCATCCCTTCAGCTGTCATCCATCACTCGAGGATGGCGACGCCGCGTTCTGCTCACGGTCTGCTGAGCCCAGGGGGGCACCTTCAGCTGCTGCTGAGGTCAGAACCTGTCTGGAACCACCAGAACCTGTCTGGGACCACCAGAACCTGTCTGGGACCACCAGAACCTGTCTGGGACCACCAGAACCTGTCTGGGACCACCAGAACCTGTCTGGGACCACCAGAACCTGTCTGGGACCACCAGAACCTGTCTGGGACCACCAGAACCTGTCTGGGACCACCAGAACCTGTCTGGAACCACCAGAACCTGTCTGGACCCACCAGAACCTGTCTGGACCCACCAGTGAGCCCCAAGGTCTGCAGTGAAACCTGTCCATCCCAGCTGCTCCATGGTGCTCCTGGATCACTCTCAGGGGTTTGGGGGTTTCTTCTCCCCATCCCTGGCACTGCCCAGGGCCAGGCTGGGCACAGGGGCTTGGAGCAGACTGGGACAGTGAAGGTGTCCCTGCCCATGGCAAGGGGTTGCACTGGGTGATTTGGGTGCAACCCAAACCATTCCAGGACTCCACGATCTCCTCACACTCACCAAATTTTGGGATCTCCACAAAGGCTGCAGGAGACCTGGGGGCAGATCCACTGAGGGAACTCACAGGTGTGGGGTCAGGCTGTCATTTCCTCTCCATGCTCTCAAGCTAGAGTAACTCTACTGTGCAGCCAAAGAGCTTTTTTACCACACTCCCAATCGAATTCCAGCAAAATCCAAACCAGCTCCCAGCCCCAGGGATTTTTGTCCACAGTAAACCCAGGAACTCCCTGAGTCTCAAAAACAGAGGGAGCCTGAGCCTCACCAGACAACTCTTCCTGCCCAGCCACCAGAACTCTGCACCTGCTGAGGGAACCCACTTTGATTATTCTGCAGATCCACTTGGATTAGATACTTCCCATTTTCCTGGTCACCTGCAAATCCTTCTGCTCCTTCCCAAACCAAACACTTTTTGTCTCATGAGGAAAACTCAAGTTCCTGCAGCTTCTTGTTGCCATGTTCTACGTGGATTATGACACCCAAACATTCCAGCTTCTTCAGCAGCTGCCTATGAGAAATCTTCCCAAATATTTTTGGCTAATAATTGATCAGGTTTTCTTCAAGGTCAAGCTCCTCCTTGGCTGTATCCAGTCCCACAGCCAGGTTCTCGCATCCAAGCAGTATTATTTGATTTTAAATTACCATTTCAACAAGCTTTAGCAAGTAAAAGCTGCCAATTCACATCATCAGCTGATCACCCCACCCTCTGGAATCAGGGGTACCCACCCTTGGAGACAGGCAGCTCTCAGCAGGACTGGAGACTTCCAGGTGTCCCCTCTGACCAACACGGTCCTGTGACCCTCCCCTGGCACCACACACACCCAGGCAGGCCACAGGAACCTCTCACAGTCAGGTCTCCTGCCAGAGAAGGTCCTTAAGGAGCTTCCTGCCTCTGCTGCTCATCCCAGTCCTTTCCCTTAATTTCTGTACGTTTGGTGTGCCATGAACTGGAGAATTTGAGGAGTGATTGTTTTTGAAGGAGCATCCACTCAGATCATCCAGTATAAAACAACTCTAAGGAAATACAAATAACCTAAAACATCTGGCAGTGCTTGGGGAAGCTTCATATTTCACTTTAGAGCTTGAGTATCCCAGGCAGGGGACTCCCAGCCCTGCTGGACAATCTGCTCTGGGGCTGATGAGCCTCCCAGGGAAAAAAGTGTTTTCCTGTGGCTGGAAGGATTTTCTCCTGCTGGTGCCCACGGCCTGCCACCCTGGCACTCCCCCACTCCTGACTTTTGGGGTTCCCACCCTCCTGCGCACATCTGGAACGGGGGTGGAAGCTCCACAGTGAGGCTGCAGAAGGTGCAAAGCTCATCTTTCCAGCAAACCCTGCCAGTGGCACCACTATAAACCAGTAACCAGTAAACCAGTAACCACCCAGGGCCCCTTGGGCAGCCTCCCCTGGCAGCTCCTCCCCCTCGGGGCTCAGGGCAGGAGCTCCCAGCTCTTCTCTTACCTGGCTGAGGTGGGTGAGGAGGTGGCATCTGGTGGTGCATCATGGGGTAGGGCGGGGGCTGCTGGTGGGGCAGCAGCCCTGGGTGTGCTGGTGCCCCCAGGGGGTTGATGCCAGGCCCGCTGGGGTGCTGGTGGGGCTGCTGGGGGTTCTGGCTGTGCTGCTGCTCCATTTGCTGGCGAGCCCTTAACTCGGCGTACTTCAGCTGCTCCATGTGGAAGTTCTGCCTCTCCGTCAGCAGCTGCTGCCTCTGCTGCTCCAGCTGTGCCAGGAGGGGACAGAGGGCACAGGTGGGTTAGCAATGGCACAGGTGGGTCAGCAATGGCACAGGTGGGTCAGCAATGCTGCATTTCAGGGGTGCTGCTGCTCCAGCTGTGCCAGGAGGGGACAGAGGGCACAGGTGGGTTAGCAATGGCACAGCTGGGTCAGCAATGGCACAGGTGGGTCAGCAATGCTGCATTTCAAACACGCTCCTGCCACTCAGTGGGCTGGCTTGGAAGAAGCCTCCCATCCCAACCCCAACCCAAGAGGAACTGCTGTCCTTTGGATGTTTGCAGCAGGTTCTGGGAAAGGCTCTGGATGAACTCACCTTGTTCTGTCCTAAAACCCCCCAGCAGCACAGCTTGTTACTCACTGAGCTCTGCACTGAGGACTCAGCCCTAGCACAGCTCTGGAAGAAACTGGGGTTTTTTTCTCTCCACCTTCTGCTTGCTGGATCGAGGCAGAACAGGAATCTCAGGGGATTTTCTAGGTAAGCCTGAAGCAGAATGTGTGTGCAGCTGCAGGAGGTCAGGGATCAGAGGCAGGACCCTTCTCCATCCTTTGAGTGCAGGAATTGGAAGTCACAGCAGCCAGACACAGATTTGCACTATTAAGAGCTTTATGTAAAAAACCTCATGTCATTTGGGCCAATTAACACCAAATAGGCTACTTTGATTAATTATGAAGTCATGTAGGGAGTGAAACCTGAGCAATCTGGCCTAGGGAAGGTGCCCCTGCCCTGGGATGATCCAGAAGATCCTTCCAACCCAAACCAGTCTGAGATTCCATGAAAAGGCAAAAAAAAGCTGCAGAAAGCACCTCCTGCCACTGGGCATTTGTATGATGGATCAGGTGCCAGTGAAGGAAGTGATATTTGACTTATTCCAGGAATATCGACCATTCCCACATTATCACTGGACCGGGGGCTGCGTGACCGGTTTACAAATATTTCAGCAGTGTTTTAAGGTAGACTCCACAATTCAGCTGAAAAGCAGGTTGCCAAGGAGACTTTCACCTAGCAGGAGTTCTCCAAAAATCCCAAAGCTCCCTCAGTAGCCGGCGCTGGCAGGCTGGCTGCTGACAAGGCAGGGATGGGGAGGGGAAGGCAGCTCCACAGAGCCGGCATTGAGCAGCCCAGATGGGCCGAGCTCATGAATTAAACATGATCCTGGCCGGGTGGAGGCTGCTGCGGGCCCACAATGGCATCATTCACGCTGCCCTGGCTCTTTTCTGCTCTGATATGCTGAGGGAAGCACCAGATAAATCTACCCCACCGGGGAAATGGGGTGTGTGGGGAAACATTCCCGAGGTGGCAGACAGCTGGGAGAGGAATTCCTGCAAATGACCCCAAACAAAGGCTCAGGCAACACTTTTTTGTTCCTTTGAGACCCTTTTGTGGCCTTGCTTTGCTCTCTTCAGGGCACCCCATCCTGTTACAGTTTAAAAGAGTCTTTGCAAGGATGCCCAAACAGCAGCCAGTGCCTGAAAATTCACATTGGAGAACAAAAACCAGGGAAAACTTCCCTTCTACACAATCCCTGTGCCGGGAATGAGGAAAGACAGTTGGGCAGAGGCAAAAAAGGACAGAAAGGCAAGTTATGAGCTGGTGAGGCACTCACAAGCTGGTGCTAAAGCTGAGCCAAGCTTAAGCTTGGGCTCTAGTGCAGACCCAAAGCCCTGGTTCTGCAGCAGGCTGTCACCACCTCAGACACAACCTCAGCTGTTCCCCCAGACTGGCATTTAAACAGCTTTTTCCAGGAGCACATTTCCAATGGAAACTCCGTCAGTGACTTGCAGCTGCTCTCCCATCTCAGTCCTTCCTGCAGCTGGAACGAGGCAGGAGTGAGGCTGAGAACCTCCACCAGGGTCAGCTCCTGCCACCAAACCACCCCAGAGCTCCTGGGCTGGGAGGGTCTGGATGTCACCCAGGCCAGGGCAGGGTCCCTGGGGTGTGTCCAGGTGGGTTTGGGGTGTCTCCAGCCCCCCTGGGCAGCTGTCCCTCCATGGAGAGAGGCTCTTCCTCCTGCTGAGCTGGAGCTGCTGTGGTTTGCTTTGTGGCCACTGCTCCTTGTCCTGTCACTGGGCAGAGCCTGGCACCTTCTCCTGGCACAGTTTGGGAGATTTGTGTGGCTCTCCTCTGAGCCTTCCCTCCTGCAGCCTGAGCAGCTCAGCTCTGCAGTCTCTGCTCAGCAGAGATGCTCCAGAGCCCTGAGCAGCTCGGTGGGCTCTGCTGGACCCTCTCCAGCAGAGTCTGCCCACAAAAGCCCACCCAGGGAACGAGCTGGAATTCAGGCAGGTGGCTCTGGGTGTCACACCTGACAATGCCCCAATATCCAACACAACTGTGCTGCTGTCAAAGTGCTGCACCAGGAGGGGCAACTACAAGCACTTAATGCCCACTCCTACAACAAATCAGTGTGCTACAGCTTCATCTCCAGCACAGAACTTCCTTTCAGGGGAATTTCCCCATGGAAAGGGTGCTCAGGCCTTGGCAGGGGCTGCCCGAGGAGCTTTGGAGTGCCCATCCCTGGAGGTGTCCAAGGAACACCTGGAGGTAGCACTCAGAGCTCTGGGCTGGGGATTGGGCACAGCTGGGACTCCATGGTCTGGGAGGGCTTTTCCAACCTCAGGGATTCAGGAATTCCTCCCTGAACAGAACCAGCAAAGCTTCAGGTGCCATTAGAAATTCTGAGTTGGCCAAGCTCCACCAGCAGCTCCTGGTTCCCCACACTGAGCACTGGCATTGCTGACACTGCTCAGCTCAAACACAAATAAACGTGTTTTGCCTGAAATGTAACAGCCTGCAGTCTGCAGCACTGATTCCTGTCAACACTCACAACCCCTGCTCCTTCCCTGCAAGGAGAAGCCAGGGCAGCAGGAACGACAGGCACAGTGTGCAGTGGCAGCAAGGAGCTTTTGCTGCTTTAATTATTCCACTAAATATCCACAATGACAGGTGAAAAGAGCGAATTTAACCACCAGGAAGCCAAGAGGGAAAATCTGTATGCACATTTTTAAAAAGGGAAATGTCATATGCCTCAAAAGGGAGGGAAAAAAAACCTCCCTGTCACTAATGGAATATATCCCCCAAAGAAAGAATCTGCAGGGAACCTTTCCAAAAGAGTTGGGTCCATTTCCTGAGCTGCCAATCACACACAGACTGAAAGAGCAGAGGATGTGGAGCAATCCAGAAATTCCTGCTGACATCCTGCTCCAAGAGACGTCCACATCTTGTCAAACTCCATCAGTGTGGTTAGGGGAACTCTGCATTGGGAAAGGTTCTCCATGGGGAGGGTGGCCAGGCTCCCAGGCTGGGCAGGGCTCAGGGAATGCCTGCATGATGCCCTTGGTCACAAGGCTCAGTTTTGGGTGCTGTGAGGGGCAGGAGCTGGGCCTGGTGCCCCTTCCAGCCCGAGACAGGGTTCCATGAATGACAAAATTCCATTCAATTCACCCATAATGGCAAATGCAGAAATCCCTGCAATTATGAATCGACACAATCCAGGTTGAATCTTCAACACACTTGTAGTAACTGTCTACTCACAACAGGGAGGCAGCTGCACAATAGAAGAAATTAAAAACTGGCCATTCTGACAGAAATGAGATTTTGAGTCATCTTTCAAGCAGCCAGAGAGGAAACACTTCTCCAAAGCCTCTGGCACTACACATGACACAACTGCTCGTAATTCCTGAGTAATCCAGGCCCAGACAGCTCCTCTCCATGTCCTGAGCCCACTCCCTTCCCCTCTCCTGAAGCTGCTGCTGCCTTCCCAGCTCAGGCAAAGCCACCATCATCACCACAAAGTGAGGCTGTCACTCCTGCATTCCCCTTGCACCTCCACATCCCACTTCCAGGGCTTTGCCAGGAGCTGCCCCCAAAAACCTGAACTGTCTCCTTGGAAGCCCCTCTTCACTGGGCTCAGGGGGAAAGGCACACAGGGAAGGGAGGGCTCCACCCCTTTCACTCTTGCCAGGGAAAAGCTGTTCTTAGCTCAGACACAATCTATGTGGAAAGGCCACACAAGGCTCAACTCCATGTTCCTGCTCGGAGTAAGGATGAGGAAGCAAATCCAGGATACCCCAGTGTGCTGCTGATGGAATAGAGAAAACACTGGATGGAGGAGGACAGGGCTCAGATGCCTCTGTGGGAGGGAATTATGGATTGCAGCTGAAGGAGAAGGACACAAAGGAGAGCAGAGGAGCTGCTGGTTTTCCAGATGTTGGCCCACAGACCTTGGCAGCGAGAGATTTAATCCCAAATTTCACTTACTGCCTCTTTCTCCCGGTCCATGATGGTTTCCAGCTCCTCAAAGTGGCGAAGTTTTATCTCCAGCTTCTTCATCTGAGTCTCCACCAGAAGGGCCACCAGGGACTTGATCTTCCTCTCCTCCACAGCTGCCAAGTGCTGGGGATGAAACACAGGGGTTGTTCTGTGACACTGGGCACAGGAAGGGGCTTGGAGGGAGGGAATCCTCCAGCTTCAGCCATCCTGTTCCACTTCTGGCAGGAAACAGGGAATTAGATCATGAATTTATGCTGGGAACCAGAGGCCCTTGGAAGATTATTAAGGTTTTGATCAAATAAATAGGTGTGAAGGTTTCATACAAGGGGTGTGGAGGGCGCTCAGAGCAACCCAGCACTGGGCACAGGGGAATGCAGATGAGGGAGAAGGAAGGGTCTGATCAGTGGAGTCAGCTGAGGGGCACCCAAAAAGCTGCCAGCAGGACACACACAGGAGGCTGTGACCCGGAGTGACCCCAAACCAGGGACATGGCACTGCCACGTCTTTGCCATTAAAACAGATTTTTCTCAAGGAGAAGGCAAATTGATTTTTACAAGGATTAACTTCATGCCATTTATAGCCACACATAAATAACACCAGAGATCTGTGTATATATATTTGATACATGAGGCAGCCATGCGAGTGTTTCACACCCTCAGAGTGTGACAATGTGGTCATGATGCCTTTCCCTGTTGCTGTAAAAATCCTGCTGCTCAGCATGAGAGCAGCCTGAGCTGCACCCTGCCCGGGGCTCTGTGCTCACAGATGTGGCCCAGGACACACCCAAGGGCAGGAGGACACAGGGAAAAGCTGGAGCTCATCCAGCTGCAGCTGCAAACAGACCCCTACCCAAACTGCCTCAGAGCTGGAGGGAACAGCAGTAAAAACCTCCCTGGAACCCTCAGCAGAATCTGAATTTCTCAAAACCCATGTGACACCGTGCCATTTGACAACGTTCACCTCCCTGACCCAGTAAACGTGGGTAAATGCACTCCTGACTCTCTAAAGTGAATTTCAAATCAGGTCTGAGAGAACCAGAGTGACCCCAAGCTCATCCAACACCACATTCCTGAGAAATTGCAGCAGCTGATCCAAAACTGACCAAAGTGCTGCACACAAAATAATGAAACAAAGCTGACAGAACAGGAAATTTCATGTCAAATAACACTGTTTGGTAAAATAAACTTGTTTGTATGAAAATTCAGGGTGAAGGAATCACCTGGTGCTTCAGAGTCTTCTACCAAACATTTCACTCTGTTTCACATGTGCAATTTTAATGAAATGGGATGAATATCTGATCAAAGCATGTGCTTAGGTAAAGGACAGGTCTCAAAATACACCTTGGAAAGGAAATTATCCCTGAAGTTTTTCCTAGAGAGACTCAAAGAGACTCAGCCTGGCATTACCCAGGGCTTTCCATGGGCAAAGGACAAATCCCTGCAGCTGAGGAAAATCAGGAACACAAATTCAGAGGTAATTTTAAATGCTTGATAAACCCATCACTGCACCAGCCTCGAGTCATCAGTGAACAAGTGGTCCTGAAGGGCTTTTCCAAACTAAATGATTCTATAAAAAAAAGAATCATGGAATGCATAAATGGTTTGGGTGGGAAGGGACCTTATAACCCATCCAGTGCCACCCCTGCCATGGCAGGGACACCTTCCCCTGTCCCAGGCTGCTCCAAGTGTCCAGCCTGGCCTTGGGCACTGCCAGGGACCCAGGGGCAGCCACAGCTGCTCTGGGCAGCTGTGCCAGGGTCTGACCATGCTCATAGCCAGGAATTCCCAATTCCCAATCTCCCATCCATCCCTGCCTCTGGCAGTGGGAGCCATTCCCTGGGTCCTGTCCAGTCCAGCTCTCCTGGAGCCCTGTAGCACCACTGGGATCAGCAGCTTCTAGGAATGATCTCTTCAGTCCCAGCCACCTCAGCCAGGAATTTGGGGAGGTCATGAGATCAGTTCCTGGGCAGGATGTCAAACTGGGAGCAGAACAGTTCTGGGAAGGGGCAGTGATGGATCGAGAGCAGCAGTTCTGCAGCTCCAGCTGGAGCAGAGCAGGAGCCATCAGGGATGCTGTGGCACAGACAGGAAAAAACAGCTCACTTTGGGTGTCCATTGAGAGGAAAATGAGCAGAAGGTACTTAAATTCTAATGGTGTTTGTTCAGAAACCAGAACCTGTGAAAACACATTTCAATTGTTGGTCCGTATGAAATGCAGAATCTCACCCCGAGCATTCATGTTCACCACTTCTCAAACAGCACAACTCAACTTTTAAAAGCCACTGATCCAAAAGAAAAAAACCCAAAAAACTCCAAACAAACCCCCCAGTCAATCCCTTGTCTTTAACCCCATCTTCACTCAGAATCCAACTGCAATATTGCTCTGATATAAAATCCTAAGGAAAACAGCTTTTCACATGAGCAGGCCTAGAGTTTATGATGAAGAATTTAATTACTCCCTCAGACAAGACACAGACCACCCAAAGCTCTAACAATGTCTGGCTTTTTAAGGGAGTGGGAAGAGAAATCCCTGCTGAACCTGAATTCTACTCTGAAGTGTCAACCTCCTAATTACAATGCATTATTATTCCCTGTAATGGAAAGCTGAGGCTCTTCCAGAACATTATTATTGCCATAATGAAAAGTGCCATCAGCCAGGTCCCTGCCCCCTCCAACTCCTTATCTCCAGAGGAAGGGGAGCAGCAGATCATCTTCACTTGGAGCAAGTGGCCCTCCATAAAACACAGATTAAAGCTCATGTCTCCTCATACAGAGGTTTTTCCAGCTTGGCTGAAGATATCTGTGAGTTTGATGAACTGAGAGCCACTATGGACTCTGCACTTCACCAAAATACTGAACCTCAGCTTTGCCAGCAATTTGGGATTTTAATGGACAGGGAGCTGTCTGCCATGTGGGATTTTACAGCCTGGTTTGAAAGGTAAGAACTGAAACATCCTCCATCTCCTGGGTTCAAAATGAGGGACTGCACAGGACCCACCATCCTCACTCTGGGGGATGCAGCTGGGGAAAAAGTCTAAAGTTAAAGAGTCAAAGAACAGAGTGGAAAAGTGAACAGAACACACACCACCTCCTTCTAGCCATGGAAATCCATCAGGAATAAACACCCAAGCCTTGCTCTTGGTTTCTGTAGAGCAGGTGGATGTGGAATGTGGTACTGAATCCAAGAGCTATTAAAAAACCCAAATTAAAACTTGGATCCAGACAAATTTGTAAAGACAAAACAGATTGGAAAAAGATACTCTAAAAGCAACGAAAGCAGTGTGGTTCCTGCAGAAGGAAAGGCAAGACAACGTGCAATTAGTAATTACAGGGTAAAGAAAAGCTGATTCAACACAGCTCATTAGAGACCACACACAAACAGGAGTTTAAGGGGACACACCAACGTGCTTTTTACAGAACCCTTAACAAAACACAAGATCATTAAGGTGTCTTTGAAAGCTGCAGAGCCAGGACTGAACATCTCTCCGTGTCTGCCCCACCCAGAGCCCAGGGATTTTTGTGGAGCCCCGGGGCAGCAGGGGAGGACATCAGAGGGTTTGTGCCCCTCAGCACCACAGCCAGACCTCCCAGCAGCCAAAAGCCCTGCCAAGAAATCACACACACTTCGGGGCTATTCCTTAGGGATGCTCATCCAGTCCAGAATCACCCGAGGATCTGCTTAATTACAGCTGTCCATGATCCCGCCGGGGGCTCAGGCAGGAGAAGGGAAGGCAGCCCTCGAGCACTCCAGGCACAGCCCTGCTGTCCCGGGGAGCCAGGCCAGGCTGTGGCACAGCACCAACCTTGGCTTTGGTGGCAGCAGAGGCCAGGGCAGCAGCTGCAGCTGTGGCCACGTTCCCCTCCGAGATCTCGTGCTCCACTTTCTTCTTCCCAGCCTCGGCCTCCTTGTCCTTGCTGCCGTCAACGTTCTCCTTGTTCTCCTCTGCCTCCTTCTCCTCTGCAAGACATCCCAGCCCAGTCTGTTACACGTGTTCCGGGATGGGAGGGCACCCCACTAATTACTCAGGCACTAATTAACTCATCCCCAGGTCCAGCACTGCTCCCCATCCAAATGCTGACTGGAACTCCAGTTTGAGAGGATCTGATCCAACAAATGGGGCAACTTTAAATGCTTTTCATTCAGCACCTGCCATCAGCTTCCCCTCATCATTTACCAATCAACTCCATCAAATCCAAATACTCCTTATTCTACACAGGGATAAAATTCTGAATGTGAGTTGAAGGAAAAAAACAATATATCCATTCCCACACCTGGCAGTGTCCAAGGCCAGGCTGGACAGGGCTTGGAGCAGCCTGGGATGGTGGCAGGTGTCCCTGCCACGGCACTGGATGATCCTTACAGTCCCTTCCAACCCAAACCCTTCCATGATTTTATGAGGCACGGGGGAGATGACAAAAAGAAAAAGGTTTTATTTTATGTAGATGTTGTTACTCCTCAGCCTGTCAAAATCCAGGCTCTGCATCACTTCCCAGGGAAACTGAGCTGAAATATTAACTTGCAAGGGGAGAAGTGAGCAGAGAATCCCAGAATGGTCTGGGTTGGAAGGGGCCTTAAAGCCCATCCAGTGCCACCCCTGCCATGGCAGGGACACCTCCCACTGTCCCAGGCTGCTCCCAGCCCTGTCCAACCTTAAACACCTCCAGCAGTTCCACTTCCTTGCATCCAAAGTGACCAAATGTTGTGGAATTTGGGCAACCCCCCCATTTCTATGACCCACAGGCACTCTGGGGCCGCAGCTCCTCCCCATGCCCAGGGCTGGGAAGCTCAGGGAGGGATTGGCTAGGACTTAAATTTTAAACTGGAGTGACGTTTTTTAACGTATTATTCACAATAAAGTTTGCATTAATAATATATATATGATATTTAAAACACAATCACTTATTATAACATTTTTATATAAAAGAAAGACTTGAAATTTAAGATGATAAATTGATTAGATGATCTGATGCCTGAGCTCTGCAGGGAGGATCAGGTGGGACCTGCTGCAGCCCAAGGTGCCAGGGCAAGGTCCCAGCTGGGCTGAGGCCTGTGCCAGGCACTCTGGGCAGGGGCAGGGGCAGGGGCAGGGCAGGAGCTGGGGCAGGAGCTGGGGCAGGAGCTGGGGCAGGAGCTGGGGCAGGAGCTGGGGCAGGAGCAGGGGCAGGGGCTGGGGCAGGGGCTGGGGCAGGGGCAGGGCAGGGGCAGGGGCAGGGGCAGCGGCTGGGGCAGGGGCTGGGGCAGGGGCTGGGCAGGGGCAGCTGCTGGCCAGCCCCACACGCCCAGCCCTGCACTGGCTCACCTGGTCACCGTGGGCATGGCGGCCAATGGTGATGGGCTTGGTCCAGCCGGGCACCAGACGAGGAATGTTCTTGCAGATGATGGGCTCCCGGAACACCGTCCCTCCCAGGATGTTTCGGATGGTGCCATTGGGGCTCTTCCACATCTTTTTCAGCTTGAACTCTGTGAGGCATGCAGATGGGACCCCTGAGCGACCCCCACAGGCCCCATGAAGCACATGGCTCCTGCCCAGCACCCAGCTCCACTGTGCCACAGGCTGCTGCCAGACCCTGCTGCAAGGGGAGGGACAGCCAGCATGAGATCATGGATGGCACAGGGCAGAGCTCAGTGTGTCCCCAGTCCCAGGTCCATGGGGTCCCCACAGCACCCCTGAGCCTGCAGGGTGGGGATGGGGGCACAGCACTGAGTATGGTGCAGCCCCAAACTCACCGGAAAGCTGAGCTGGCAGTGGAAGGCACTGCTGACCCCAGGGGGCACAGACAGGAGGCTCAGCACCCCACGGAGCTGCCAGCACCCCCAACAGTGACGGGAGCTCGGCCCCTTGCCCTGCCCACCTTCCACCCTGGCTTCATCAGGCGTGATGGTGGCACACTTGACAGCCACGCTGTACTTCTGGGTGGCCAGCGCTGAGTCAATGGTGACCTGGTCGTCCGTCTTGTCCCGATGTGGCAGCCCCAGGTCGAAGTATTTTAACTGGACATCCACGTTGGGCAGGATGAGCTGAGGGGCCAGGAGAGTGTCAGAATGGGGAGACAGTGCAAGGTGCCTGGGGAGCAGCACCACGGCAT